AAAACACGGCAAAGTTTTGATATCTATGAGCATTCCTTATCTGATCAATAATAATCTTAGAAATCCTAAATATTCTGCAACACTATTACACCAACCATAAAACACCATATCCAAGCATCAAAAGTAATTCATTTTGCTTAAGCCAATAATTTACATTTCAGAAAATGCATTTTCTGCAATGTAATCCACCATAAATTATTTATTCTCATCAATTTTATAAAGTTCAAAAACCTTTCTGCTCCAGTTTACAACAAACTATGCTTTTCTGCACTAAACTCTGCTTTAGTTAAGTGTGAACTGCAATAAGACATTTTCATTAAAGAAAAAACTCCAAGTTTGACCTATAACATTAACTTAGTCACAACGAGCTGGATAATAGTAGCATTCTCATTCAAAGTAGTAACTTAAATCATAGTTGATAATTGCGCCTGGTTGTGTTACAATCAGAGTTATTATATAGCTGATCACATAAAATAAAATATACTACACTAAATGATTCAATACAATACAAATCTCAAAGAATATATAAATTGTTTTTATAAAAAAACCCACCCACCAAAGAATAGGTGCTCACCTGGTTATGGTTGACTTCTGTCTTGTAGCACTTGCCAGTGATTGATAATTTATAATAGTGGTTATATGCAAATGGCGTCAGGTGTGTCTATGTGTGAGAGAGAGGGAGACAGTGCCTGAATGTTTGTGAGTAGTAGGAGTGCTCGTACCCATTAGTGCATGCACGTGTGTATTAGGCACTTTTGCTAGCTCACGAAGAAGAGACAAGAATCACAAATGTGTCAATATCATGCTTTGTCTTATGGTCCATCTCCTTAGGTTGACATGACACCAACACATGGTCTAGTGTCTTTGTTTAAAGTTTGAAAAGTCAGAGGATATTGTCAGCATTTAGGCTACAACATCCACTAACCCCAGCTCTCCTGCTAACCTGAAACATCTCTTTGTATTATATGTGTATCCGGGCCCTAGGCCATGTGTGTGCATTAAATTCAATTCAATTCAATTTTATTTATATAGCGCCAAATCACAACATAAGTCGCCTCAAGGCGCTTCATAGATACAGAGAAAAAAAACCCAACAATCATATGACCCCCTATGAGCAAGCAGGACTCCTTAAAGGACTCCATTCAAAAGGCCTGCTCATTAAGGGCCTTAATACCCATTAATTTTTTGTCTTTTACATCAGTATGACAAAACATAGATAGATTTTCTTTAGAAAATGCAAATATAACTGAAATAACAAGGGAAAAAAGAAAAAACAAAATTTATAAAGAAGTTTCGTGTATATATCTATGTCTATACAATGTGTGTGCTCGAAAAGGAGTAGGATTACATTTTTCCTGTTCCTACCCCCTTATTTCAAATTTCATTACTTACAGATCAATATTCAGAATTCGACATTAAATGATCCAGACATGATTAACTATATACAAGTCTACACTCATATACAACACATGAACACACACACATAAAACATTTTCACTTAAACCAAAACAACAACAAACTACATTGTTACATAACCTAGGCACCCTGTGGTTAACACTAGGGTTGGACGATATGTAAAAATTTTCCAACCGACAATTGTCAGTCCAGTAATGAACGTTGGGCGATATATATTTCTCTGCGGTGGGGTCGGGTGGGCTGCCCCGGACTCTGTGGGGCGGGGTGGTGCTGCTGCTGTGGGCCCCGGTCTGGATGGGCCTAGGCCACATTGCCCTGGTGGGTTCCAGAGTGTTGGGGTACCTCCTGGGGTCAGCGGGGGAGCTGGCTCCAGGGAGGGGCCACTTGCCCCTCCCTTTCTTCCCTCCCCATCCTCAGCTGCCTCCTTCTTCCCGCTCCACCACACCCACACACACAACTGCACCTCAAGCAGGTGAGACACCTGCTTGGGGTGCAGTTGTGTGTGACCAGGGTGCAGGGGAGGCACTCCCCCTCTGTCCCCTTCTGGCTGCCTGTGCCTAAATTTTATTCCGCAACCTAGACTCACACTCTCATAACACATACATATAGGGACTTGGGGGTGGGCACGTTATACAGCGTCCAGAGGATGGTCTGTGTATTCAAACCCACCTCTGGCGCTGGTGCCCTACCCTCAATTTTAAATGCATATAGACACTGAGGCTTTTCGGGAGGAGCCGTGCTGCTCTCTGGCAGGAAGCACCATGCCCTCCTGTGTTTTAAATGCACTTTAGAACAGCACGCAGCAAAACTACGTATGAGCGGGCGGAGGGAGGTTTGGGCCTTCACTCACCCCTGTTCTGTTAACCGTCGGGGCTGGGAGGAGGTGCTGGCCGTCCGATTGGGGTCTGGGATGCGGGGTCTCCCTGCTACTGCAGATAAGGAGGCGGTCTGCTTTCCTCCACTCCAGAGAGAAAGGTTACATCTCCCGGGTCTGGGTATGATTTGCCCCTCTGGGGGCTGGGGTACCAGGGCCGGGGGCATAGAGTATGTTTGGGGAGTGTGAATGTGTGTACAGTGTCTATTTGTGTCTGTCTCCACATCGGGTGAGTGTCGAGTATTTGTTTGTGTATATGGGAGTGGGAATGCATGTTTGTGTCTGCGTGCGCCTGTTCATCTGTGTCTATATGTCAGCTTGGGTCTCATCCAAACCTCCCCCCTCCAAACTGTGTCTTTAGCTCTCTTCCACTAGTACGTATTTGGCTTCACTCAAAGTGACTCAACTCATCTATTACAATCGTGTACCACTTAATACGTGTGGTGTTGTTATAGCAATGTGGCTGAAAGTCTGTGACATCATTTGTACGCAATACAAATGCCACAACAAAGGAGGATGTCGAGGTGATGGTATACCTGCTGCTCGGTGTATGGCATGTTGTTTTCTGTGCAGACATTTCCCTTAATGGCTGCACCAATGGTTTTAAAAATAGCGGTTTGGATTTTTGTGAAGGAGACACCGTTATGACTCATTGAGTGCCACCACTAGCCGATTGGTGGCATACAGTCGGTTGACATCACATTTTGCTTGGAACCCTGACGGAGTAATTACCTGGTACCAGGAACTATCACCTAATGGAAAGCACTAAAAACGTAGTCAAGCCAAGCTAAAATAAGCAGGTACAAGTGGAAAAGGCCTATAAAGTGCAGATAAAATTGAGAGGCAGACAATAGCCCCAACCACAAATCTCTGGCTAACACACCTGCTCCTGCAGGTCCTATTTCTATAGTGATGTACTGAGAACCGTAATCACTATAGGGTAATTAAAAAGGAGGGGCAGGTCACCGCGCAGCACCTGTTTGAGTGATGTGGGGGGAGGGGCAGGATGCAAAGACTAGGAGCCAGCTGCAATTCATGGTTTGTTTTTATACCACTGTGTATTTAATCATTCTTTGTTAATTTTTGTCTCTTTTCCAGTGTGTTTTTGGTCCTGTCTCCTGCTCCTCCTGCCACCTCTCTTCATTTCCTTTCATATGATGTAGCACTTGATTACATACTCCGTCCCTTTTGGGGAAAGAGTAATCTGGCCTTTAGCAGGTCTTTAAAATAAGCAAATGCAATCTGACATCAGCCATCTACTGGTCGTAGTAGATGGCTGCCCCTCCCTGAATCTGCTGGAGGTTTTGTTTAAAGGGAGTTCTTCCTTCCCAGTGTCACCAGGTGGTTGCTAACAGGCTGCCATCTATTTGTTGGTGATTTTTCTCTGTTTTATTGTAGGGTTACAATCTTGTAATAAAAAGCAGCTTGAGGTGTCGTTGCTTTGTCTGTTTTTATATAAACAAATATATTTAGCAGCATTTTGTCAATTCAATAAAATGTTATTTATATAGTTGCAAAAGACAACCAAAATTGCATCAAGGCATTTTATGCTGTAAAGTAAAGAACCTACAATAATACATCAGTAAGCATGTATTTATTTATTTTTTACACACTGCTTCTGCATATTGGCATAATAAAAAACAACAACTAACAACAATATGTCAAGCTGTTTTCATGTCAGATTGCATTTGCTTATTTTAAAGACCTGCTAAAGGCCAGATTACTCTTTCCCCAAAAGGGAGGGAGTATGTAATCAAGTGCTACATCATATGAAAGGAAATGAAGAGAGGTGTTCATCACACATTTTATTTTTCCAATACAACGCCCTACAACTTCTCAATGACTGCATAATGTTTCGCAAAATCACACACTGCATGTGTGTATCTTAAGTATTTAAAGCTTATAGAAACCAAAGATTTAAGCCAGTTATGCTCCAATCAAATGGGTAAAGATATAAAATACACCTTTTAGTATCTGCTTCAAGGTCAGAGATCAAACATCACACAGTCACACAATTAGGAAAACACTAGTTTCCACTGGATCATCTCCAAACTTTAAAGCAGTATATTAGGCATTGTGAGACAAAGGAACTTTCTTTCTTTGAGCTTTTTAAAACATTTTTTAATACACCATTATATGATTCATAATGACACTAAACTATACTACATTATGAACTGCAATATAGATAATGCTGACATCAACACAAGAAGAACAAAAACAATGCAGATGAGATTTTGGGGGATTTCCATATTACCACTGCTGACATCAGCATTAGTTTTAGTATCGCCTGTTACTTACATATCATGTTTTGATACATAAAACCTTAGAACTGAAGGAGGATGCTCTTTTTTTTAAAGTGGACAAATATTTGCCAAACAGTTAAAACAGTACATTATCACTAGTAACAGTAACGTTTTTTTTCTTTCTTTTTTTTTGTTGCTTTTTTAAAATTGTTTTTTTTTTTACTTAATTCAGATTCTATACAACTCGACTAACAAGAGGAAGGGTAATGTGTGATTTTCAAGACTGATGGTGATACCTATGTCTGAGCATTTAAAAAATCCAACATATCAACTAATATTTGGGTTTTTTTCTGGAACACAATGTGCACCCAATGCATGTCCAGAGGATGAAATCTAGTTAACCTGATGATTAATTAATGTTTTTTACCAATACACCTTTCTAGCTGCCCTCTGCTAGATCAAGAATATTACAATCTAAAATCGGTCTCGTTACCCATTTTCATGGTACACAACAGATACTTTTTTAAATACTGTTTAAATGTCTTGTCTCGTAACCCATACACAATAGGGCTAACAAACCTGGGGACAATGTAGATTATGATATAGGAAATAAAAACAACTATTAGAGGCTGTTTAGGGAACCAGCGCACCAGAGCCTGCATTAATGCAGTTGCTATATAGGTTAGCATAGACAACAGAAGCTGAAAGCCGTGGAGCAGGATTGTGTTTCTCGCCTTCTTCGACTCTCGCTTGGCTGATTTAGCTTTGTTAGCAGCAAAAAATATCCTGAAGTATGTGTACATGAAGGTGAGCAAAACACCAATTAGGAAAATTAAATATGAAACCTCTTTCTTTTTTACAATGATTGGATGCCGGAATAAGTTATCTCTCTCACATTGTATTGTGGAATAAAATAACTCCACTGGCTCTGTTGCCAGAATAATAACGATGTCGGACATAGCTGAGACTGCACTCATGGCCCAGATCCAACCTATAGCCACGTATGTTCTTTTGGTGGTGCAGTACTCAGCGTGTTGCAGTGGTAAACAAATAGCAATGTAGCACTCTAGTGCCATGAGAGCTAAATTTATTGGAGTATTGAAGGTGGTAAAGATAGCCAAAGTGATAAGGAAGCAACAGAATGCAACATTAATTTGATAAAAGATATAAGTGAAAACAAATAGACTAATTGAAGAAGTGAGCTGGATCATGTCATTCACCACCAGGTGGATGAACAGGATGTAACGAGGATTCAAATAAAATATCTGAAAGACATGAAACACCTCATCTCACTTTTATTACTTTAATACATATATTTTTTTGTGTTAGCAATATTTAGGTATATTTTTCCAATAATGATAATTAAATAAAAACAACAATAACAATAAATACTGACCTGGTGTTTTCTGAAGGTGTGTATCAGTGTACCGTTAATATAGTTGATGGTAAAGCCGAGAGCCAGAACGATGACATTTTTGGCCACGGCTACACTTGGCGAATCGCGATATTTCAGACTGCTCGACGCATTGAGGGCATAAGATGAGGAATTCATAGAGATGCTTTTTCGGGATCTTACAAAAGAGTAAAAGTAAGTCACACACATTCATCCATCCAAATAATTGAATTCAGATGTTCCATGGCCACAGGTGTATAAAATCAAGCATCTAGGCATGCCGTCTGCTTCTACCAACATTTGTAAATCAATGGGTTGCTTTCAGGAGCTCAGTAAATTCCAGCTTGGTACCATGATAAGATGCCACCTGTGCAACAAACCCATTGGTGAAATTTCCTCAGTACTAAATATTCCACAATCAACTGTTAGTGGTGTTATAACAAAGTGGAAGTGACTGGGAATAACAGCAACTCAGCCAAAAAGTCATGTAAAATTACAGAGAGGCATCCGGGGGTGCTGAGGTGCTTAGTGAGCAATGCTGAGTGAGCAAAGGTCACTAACCTTCTGCACAGTCGGCTGCTACAGACCTCATGTGGCATTCAGATTAGCTCAAAAACAGTGTGTAGAGAGCTTCATGCAGTGGATTTCCATGACTGAGCAACTGTACCCAAACCTTACACCTTCAAGTGCAATGCGAAGGGTTGGATGCAGTGATGTAAAGCACAACATTCATTTTACTTGAAGCAAAACAATGATCCTAAATACACAGCTAGGAAACGCTCAACTGTTTCAGAGAAAGAAAATAAAAGTTGTAGAGTGGCCCAGCCAGTCTCCAACTGAAACTCTGGAAAGAACTCAAGCTCAGAGTACATAGAAGGGGTCACACAACCTTCAGGATTTGAAGACTGTGTGGAAAAACTGGGCCAAAATCAGACGTGAGCAATGCATGCGACTAGTTTCTCCATTACAGGAGGCGTCTTGAAGCCGTCGTCACCAACAAAGGCTTTTGTATGAAGGATGAAATACATTTCAGTAAGCGTTTTCAATTATTTTTCCCTGTGTCATTTTTAATTATTACACATAATTTATGGACATCTATGGTTTGATTCCTTTGCTTGTGTGGATTGGGTGGGTTGTGACTGACATCTGGTGGGAAATTCATGTCAATAGCACCTTTAGAAATATGTTTACTTAGAAAATTAGTGACATGTTCAGTCCTTACCCACTGTATGCTTAATTAATAAGCTAAAAAATACTAGTTACAAATAAGCTGCTTTGCTCAAGCTTTATGCATTAAAGAATCCTAAATACTGCACTATAATGAACTGATAGCAGCGACAAAGACAAAAAACTTTCCTACCTTAGACAGACCACTTCAGTCTCCACTTTGACCAGTTAGGAAACTGATGTGGAAATAATTTGTCTTTATATTAAGGAGTTTGATGCATGACTCCTGTTAAAGGTTAGAAATGATGTCACTGATACTGTTTCTCCTCATTGGTTAAACTTTGGCATCTTTTTTTAAAAAACATTTCTGTTCTGTAAACTAATACCAACCCCTGTTATATCACTAAAAAATATATCTAACATGAAAAAAAAAACAAGAAGACAAAAAGACATTTTCATTTATTGACAGTTAAAAACATTTCCTCTTTGCACTTTTTATCCTGGTGGGAGAAATGTGTGATATGGGAAGGTGTCAATTTGGCTTCAGTTTCAGAGCCCTTATAGCCCTCATTAGCACTCACTCAGTCACTGAACTCTTTAAAATACATTACAAAAGATCTGAATTATTTATATAGAACAAATACTTAAATAGAATGTATTATAAAGCATCAATGGAAAATTCTCAAAATGGGGCAAAAGAAAAAGAAACAAAAGAAAAATTACGAGCAAATTAGCCTAACCTTAACACCAACAGACATAACCACACACCAAAGTACCAAATGCCTCCTTTGACTTACACTATGTTGCCAAATGTATTCCCTTGTCTGCACTTGTCACACGCATATGAGCTTGAGTGACATCCCATTCCTAATCCACAGAGTTTAACATGATGTCAGCCCACCCTTTGCAGCAAAACATCCTCAACACTACTGGGAAGGCTTTCCACAGGTTTAGGAGTGTTTATGGGAATTTTAGATCTTTCTTCCAGAAGTGCATTTGTGAGGTCAGACACAGATGTTGGATGAGAAGAATTGGAGCGGTGACTGCTCTAATTCATCCCAAAGGTGTTCTTTAGGTTGAGGTCAAGACTCGGTCAGGTCGGCGCCAAACTTCCTCTTATATGTCCTCATGGAGCTTGCTTTGTACACTGGTCTGCAGTCATGTTGGAACAAAAAGATGTATTCAAACTGTTGTCTGTGAAGGTTCTCAGTCATCCAGGTAATGGTAGTCTAAAGAACTTAGAAAGAAAAGGCCCCACCCTATCATGTGATTTCCTGAGGTCAAAAGGCCCAGGATGTGAGTGGGCGTAACGGCGTCTGGGAAGGGATCTCAAAACTGGATTATAGATGGCAGACAGTTTGTGTCGTAAACCACCGCCTCTGTTCAAAGACGGTTGTTCACAGAGGACTTATAAGCCATCTATGTCTATGAAGAAGCTTCTCGGATGAGAGTTGAACCGTCTTCAAGCAACTTAAAGATGTCCAGCTTTTGTTTTCAAGCTCTTTAGAGTCTTCAAACTGTTCCACCTTCAAACTTTTAAATCTTCAAACTGTTCCCACAAAGCTGGGAGCAGGAAATTGTCCAACCTTCTTGGTATGCTGAAGCATGAAAGGTTCCTTTCACTGGACTTAAGGGGCCCCTTCAAGAATGTGTTAACACGCCATTATGATTAGTGTGATTAAAATCTTTAACGCATTTAACCCAGTCAGTCATTTAATCCAGTCATGAAATTTTCTCGCTATGAAATACTTCATAATCGACTATTAGTAGTGTTAAAACTGGAAGTCATGTGAAACAACAGCAAATAAGTCATGAAGTGTTGGCCGTAGTACAGAGGTCACCAACGTTCTGCAGTCAATCGCTACAGACTTCCAAACTTCGTGTAGTCTTCAGATTAGCTCAAGAACAAGTTTCCTAGCAGCTACATTAGTGCCTTACATCGCTAAGCTCAGTGATGTAAGGAAGTGTCAGATGTAGTGGTGTAAAATATCACAGCGCAGAGTGGACAAGCTTTGAACATACTGCCCGAAATGTAAGAAGTTATGACCTGCAGTCTATCTGGGTCAGATATAAACCAAGTTCAGGTGGAGCTTATTTTCGCTGTGCTGACTTTTTACAGTCAGTTACAATAACTCGTACTGCGTACTAGCTAGCATGACGGAGTTTCTATACAGCTGGGCGGGTGCTATGATGTTACTAATGGTGAACTTTATTTTATTCATAAGGTTAGTTAGTAGAGTTGCCAAACGTCCCATAAAAAATGGAATTGTTCCGTATTCAGAGAAAATATTACGCGCTTCATATTGAGCCGCAAAGGAACGCGATTTGTCCCGTATTTCAGCTAGAATGGAAAAAAGACACAAAGCTGGAGTTATTCTGTCTTTATGCTGTCAACTTCCTCTTCTTCTCTCATTCCCTCCCCTCTCTCTCCTGTTGCTACTCTAGTCATGAAACTGATCCATGATCAGCTTTTCTCTCTTGTTTGTTTATCGCCCACAAAGAGGAAACCAGCGGATGTTACGCTTAACAACAACAGCACGTTTAAGTTTGAACAGCTGTTGTCAGAATTTATTTAATATTAATTTCTATTATCAGCTGATATTTGCTGGAGCCACAGCTATAAAGCTGCTGGTCATGATATCGGTTTGGATATCCTGGTGAGAGGGAAACATGAAGATGAAACCAGAAGATGTCCTTACTCAGAGCTGAACCAGCCCGTTCTCACTCCCGAGGCGTAATGTCCCGACGTTTTGTCACGTCCAGAGAAACGCAAAAGGTGACCGGTCGGGTTCTTATGGTATGTGCCGGTGTTGTACCAAAAACTGATTGTCTGCCAAAAGCTGATTGCTCGTATTTAAACTGCTATAAGTAACTTGTTGGGTTACAAGGTAGAAGCTTTTGGCAGTGACTTTTATATAACCTTTATTTATGCAGTTAAAAAAAATATCTCTCTTTTGTAAGAGTAAGTTGGCCAAGAGGACAGCAGAAATGGCAGCAAATATTACAATAGTGGGGATAAAGGACTGGATTGGTTATAATGTATTACAGTAACACAGAGTTGTAAAGATACTTGAAAAATGGATAATTTTTTAATTCTCTTTATAACCCCTTTTTAAACCCTGTTCACCGAAGTCTATTTACGAACATACATAAAGATATTACACATAAAAAGTCCACAGAAACATTGGAAATTAGTTTTGGGCAGACAATCGCTTTTTGGCACAACACCGGGTTATGGATGAAATCCAGTGTAATGACGGTCCCGCGGTAATAGACGATCCAGCCCTAAACCCAACCTTATCCGTAACCCTAACCTTATTCCTAACATTAACCAGCACTTTAATGACGTTAAATAGTGTTTTCCCAAGTGATTTTAAGAAAAAGAGCAAACATGTGTGGATTGAGTCCAAACGGTTCTCATATTTCCTCATTTTTCCGATGTCGTGATTTAGGAACGTGTTGGGTGGCCGAAAACGTAATATGTTGATGATTTCTCACCTAGCGTAAAATGTTACGTTTGCAAGTGATGGAGAAACAGGTTTACTTTTTAGAAATGTATAGAAATCATACATATATACCAATAAGACAGTGTACATCCCTGTTACAACAGTGTTTGCTTTCATTCAAAGGCTTTATGGCTTTTCCTATAATACCTGGTGGGCCGGTCTCCGGTCAAAATGCCCGGGCCGATTTTTTGTCCCAGCCCAGCCCTGGTTGGAGCCGGGTCCTGCCCAGGAGCTGAAGCTGCTTTGCTTTCTTTTTTCACCTCCTTTTTTTCTTGTTCCATGTTTGTTGTCATATATCGTAAGACATATACAGGGAGTGCAGAATTATTAGGCAAATGAGTATTTTGTCCACATCATCCTCTTCATGCATGTTGTCTTACTCCAAGCTGTATAGGCTCGAAAGCCTACTACCAATTAAGCATATTAGGTGATGTGCATCTCTGTAATGAGAAGGGGTGTGGTCTAATGACATCAACACCCTATATCAGGTGTGCATAATTATTAGGCAACGTCCTTTCCTTTGGCAAAATGGGTCAAAAGAAGGACTTGACAGGCTCAGAAAAGTCAAAAATAGTGAGATATCTTGCAGAGGGATGCAGCAGTCTCAAAATTGCAAAGCTTCTGAAGCGTGATCATCGAACAATCAAGCGTTTCATTCAAAATAGTCAACAGGGTCGCAAGAAGCGTGTGGAAAAACCAAGGCGCAAATAACTGCCCATGAACTGAGAAAAGTCAAGCGTGCAGCTGCCAAGATGCCACTTGCCACCAGTTTGGCCATATTTCAGAGCTGCAACATCACTGGAGTGCCCAAAAGCACAAGGTGTGCAATACTCAGAGACATGGCCAAGGTAAGAAAGGCTGAAAGACGACCACCACTGAACAAGACACACAAGCTGAAACGTCAAGACTGGGCCAAGAAATATCTCAAGACTGGTTTTTCTAAGGTTTTATGGACTGATGAAATGAGAGTGAGTCTTGATGGGCCAGATGGATGGGCCCGTGGCTGGATTGGTAAAGGGCAGAGAGCTCCAGTCCGACTCAGACGCCAGCAAGGTGGAGGTGGAGTACTGGTTTGGGCTGGTATCATCAAAGATGAGCTTGTGGGGCCTTTTCGGGTTGAGGATGGAGTCAAGCTCAACTCCCAGTCCTACTGCCAGTTTCTGGAAGACACCTTCTTCAAGCAGTGGTACAGGAAGAAGTCTGCATCCTTCAAGAAAAACATGATTTTCATGCAGGACAATGCTCCATCACACGCGTCCAAGTACTCCACAGCGTGGCTGGCAAGAAAGGGTATAAAAGAAGAAAAACTAATGACATGGCCACCTTGTTCACCTGATCTGAACCCCATTGAGAACCTGTGGTCCATCATCAAATGTGAGATTTACAAGGAGGGAAAACAGTACACCTCTCTGAACAGTGTCTGGGAGGCTGTGGTTGCTGCTGCACGCAATGTTGATGGTGAACAGATCAAAACACTGACAGAATCCATGGATGGCAGGCTTTTGAGTGTCCTTGCAAAGAAAGGTGGCTATATTGGTCGCTGATTTGTTTTTGTTTTGTTTTTGAATGTCAGAAATGTATATTTGTGAATGTGGAGATGTTATATTGGTTTCACTGGTAAAAATAAATAATTGAAATGGGTATATATTTGTTTTTTGTTAAGTTGCCTAATAATTATGCACAGTAATAGTCACCTGCACACACAGATATCCCCCTAAAATAGCTAAAACTAAAAACAAACTAAAAACTACTTCCAAAACATTCAGCTTTGATATTAATGAGTTTTTTGGGTTCATTGAGAACATGGTTGTTGTTCAATAATAAAATTATTCCTCAAAAATACAACTTGCCTAATAATTCTGCACTCCCTGTAAATAATCCCAATTGTGATTACATTAGTATTTCTTTTTACACAACTTTTTTGGTAATAAATTTATTTAAGAATCAAAAAATCTGAAGAGCCAAAAGAAGTACCATCAATAAGCCTCAGTTCAGGTGTGGAGGTAAAGAGAGGGAAAACCGCATTTTAAATAAAATTCTCTAAAAATTGTCAATTGAGAAATGAGTGCCATGTCTCTAGTGCTACCCAAGGCCTGACCCAGCAGTGAAGAAAGAACACCCAAATATATGCAACACATCATGCACAGACCTGTTATCTGATTAAAAACTTTTAAATGAATTATAATATTGCATAGAAGCTTTTGTGCAGAGTTTATAATCTTTCAACTTCCTCCTTGATTGTGTTAAACAACATTATATTTACACTAAATATTTCAGCTATGAAAACAGCAGAGGTTATACAAAATGACATGCTGAAAATATGTTCCCATCTAAAATCAGTATATGAGTTGGATATGTATTGCTGTTTTATGACGACCGTATTATCTTTGGAAGGTTGTTCACTGCACACAAATGCCTTTTCAAGAACTTTCTGAAAGTCTTGTCACGTAATCCATAGATTATAGGACTTCCTAAGCGAGGGAGAACTTGGTTAATAATAAAAGTGGCAAAGTTTATGTCACTTAGCCCTTCAGGAAAAAAGTATACCAGGAGTTTGATTAACGGAGGTTGCACATAAACCGTTGTACACAACAGCACCTGAAACCCATGAATCAGGATGGTGTTTCTTGCCTTTTTAGTATCTGAATCAGCACATCTAGCCACAAACAAAATTTGGCAGTAAGTGTACAACAGTGTGACCGAAACTAGCACTAGAAACAGTGTGTGGGATGCATCCCTCTTCTTTACACTATAGCTGCTACGAAACACAGTATCTCTGTTGCAGACCACTCTCGACTGTAAGAACTGTGAAGACTCAACGGCCAAGAGAATGAACAGATCTGGCAAAATGGAAAGTGAACTTATTGCCCAGATTATTCCAATTACAATGTATGTTCTTTTGACTGTACATATGTAGCTGTATCGAAGAGGGATGCAGACAGAAACACAACACTCTGCTGCCATAAAAGCTATATTAAGAGGAGTGTTTTGTGTGGTAAAGATCGCCGGCAAGATGAGTAACAAACAGAGGGAGACGTGGATGGTGTGGAATGCATACGAGAAGATGAAGAGGGAAATGCTGGTTGACAGTTGGATGATATCGTTAAACACCAAGTGGATGAACAGGATGTAGCGAGGGTTCAACCTGAAGATCTGATTTAAATGACATAATTAATTATTAGTTTTGAATATATCTTTAGAGTAAGGTTAAAGAAAGGCAGAGGTTAAAACAACAGTTGATTTAAAAAGACATTTTTCCAGACAGCGTTACTGTAAAAACATGTACATGTTATAATTAGATTTAAGATTGTGCTGCAATTACTAAAATAAAACAAAATACGCACAGAGAAGATTTTGTTTGTTTGTTTCAGTCTAAATCAGGGGTTTACAAACACCCAAATAATACCTGAAAATAAGCTAACATTGAAAGTAATAAGGTCTACATCAAAAGCAAGCATTTCTAAATGATATTCTTTTTAAAGTACAGCAGACAAGCTCAGCCTTCGAACCAAAGGAACATGAGCTGAAAAAAAGAAAAAACAAATCAACTTAAAATAAAAAATAATAAAGATAACAAAATATGATAACTCTTTGACAGGTAATGTAGAGTAGCAGGCCTACTTTACACACATGATACTTGTTGAATGTGTGGATCATTGTGGCATTAATGTAGTTTATGGTGATGCCCAACACAACAACGGTCACATTCTTGCCAACAGCTTTGACAAATGTCTTCCAGTAATTCAAAGTTATTGTTGCATTGCTGTCAACTTGTGTCAAATTCATATCAGCATCCAAAGAACCTGTTTAAGGGGCAAAAAACAGTCAACGGTGCAAAGTACAGCAAATATGCTTTAAAAACAGTGTTACATTGTGAACAGTTCTGTGGTGGTTCTTTTTTTCATTTCCAATAGAAGAAGTGTGAAGTGAAGCATGACAGTACTGACCTTGAATGGATTTTGATCCTAATGTGATTGTGGTATTGCAGCAGCCTTTTTATACAGAGTGAGTACACATGGACGGTGGCTGGTGGGGGTTGATCTGTGATACCTGTGTGCACAGTTTATCCAAAGCCCAATGAGATCTGAGAATTTTTAAAAATAATTCTAAATTAATTCTAATTTATTCTAATTAATCTAATTCTAAATTACACATTAGATAAATTCTTACTCTCTTCAAAGCCAGCATGAGGAGAGCAAGCAGGAGGAGAATACAATAGGTCGGGATTGTTGTGATTGTGTAGCTGATGACAAACATTCACACGGTCACACGAAACATGTCATTGACCATCATGTAAAGTAAAAACCTGGGATTACTGCAGAAAAGCTGAAAGGTGAAATAAAAGACAAATGACGAAAAGGTTTAACAAGCAGGGGAGTCATTTACATCATTCACACAAAGAACTATAAAATATTGTGAGATATGTTATCAGAATTTTATCACTTTTATTGTAGAAATGTAAATTCTGTTACACAAAATGAACTTCTCTAATTTAACTGCAAGACATATTTTAACCTGTAACATTTTTAAAAGCTGTATACAGTTATGTTCATTGTGTTTGAAATTGTAATCTTACAAGCACTACAACTTTGTGTATTTGATTTAAATGAGGGAAATCAGTGCTTGCATCAGTAACTATTTATTTAAAGGAAGGACTTCTCTACAGCCAAAACTAATTCTTTCTCCTCATGCATGTAACCAAAGGCAGCTTTTGGAAAGGTTGTCAGCATAGAGTTCACTTACATTTCTAGTTTAGACTATTTAAGCCAGATTTCTTTTGCTTATAATTAACTTGACATCAGATAGCTAACCAGTGCATAAATTCTGATAATTACACAAACTTTTTTCTTGACATTAGACATGTTTAGTGGCTTCAGCTTTAAACATACATATATGTCCTAAATGATCCACAGCAGTTGTTGCTCATCACAAAATGTTCCAAGTGTTGCAAATACATTTTTCACTGTTTGCACCCTAAAGGATTATTTAACTGTACCTCATGCAAAAATTTAAATTTTGACAGACTTTACAAAAGCTCTCTGATAAAGGATTTTAATTATTGCTAAATATAAATAAAATTATGCTGCTTATCAAAAGAACATGGAAATTTGAAGCATGGATTCAAATTAAGTGAAAAAAGAAAAAGGTATTTACAAAAACAAACATAAAATTGTTTACAATTACACAAGCTTTTAAATCCAGTTAAAAGTTCCTTAAACAAGATAACTGAATGATTATAATTATCATCTGCACATACAGTACTATGCACTGTAAATGTCCACGACGACATGAACATGCTTTCCAGCATCTTTATTCTTTTATTTATCGGTTGCTGTCATGTTACATACACAGCTGCAGCTTTCCAGCTGTGCAGCTGAACACTTCTACAACAACAGCAGGCAGAGCTCAGATTTTAACCTGGTGAGGTGTGATTGCGATGTTGCGCAGGTGCGTCCACCTTCCCTGCTGCGGCCGACCACGCCCCGCAACATACACAAATTAACAATATAAAAACCATAAATATATAACAATACCAATTAATATATAAGACTAATCAAGCTATCAAGATTTTTATTAGATGTTCATGGCATTTCAACTTACATGACTGAATGAACTGAACAGAGGTATAGGGGCCAGGACATTCACTTTTACCTATTTTGATTGTCTGATTTATGTACAGTGATTTTACACAACAGATTCCCTTTCAAGAACTTCCTAAAAGTCTTGTCACGAATGCCGTAGATAATGGGGCTGATGGATCGTGGCAGTATTTGAACTGTAACATAGATCACGAAGAGGGAATCAGTGTAATTCGTAGGAAACCATTTCTGCAGAGCATTTGTTAAGTGCGGAGCTGCATATGTTGCCATGCACAGCAGCAGCTGAAACCCGTGCAGGAGGATTGTGTTTTTGGCTTTCTTGGCATCTTTGCTTGCTGTTTTGGCAGTGAATAGGATCTTTAGGTACGTGTAAATGATAGTAACCCAAACTATAACTAGAAACACTCCATATGTAATATCCCTCTTCTGGATGATAAGGGGATGTGGAAAGACAGTGTTTCTGAGACAAAACACACGAGAATGAAAAAAATCCAGGGGTTCTGTGGCCAAGGTGATGAATAGATCAGGAAGGACAGACAATGTTGTGATCATCCAAATTAAACTAATCAAGATTAAAGTTCTTTGGACAGTGCAAATCTGAACATGACGCAAGGGGAAACAGATGGCTATGTAGCATTCCACTGCCATGCAAGCCAGGTTCAGAGGGGAATTTTCAGTGGTGAAGAGAGCGAGCAACATAAAGATGCAGCAGACGGAGACATTGAGTTTGTAGATGGTGTAGCTGATGATGAACAGGATGGCAGTCAGCATCACTTGGACCATGTCATTGATCACCAGGTGAATAAAGAGGACATATCTGGGATTCTTGTAGAAAATCTGGAGAGGTATAGGAAAACAATGTTTGAAAACAATTCTGTTTAGGCAACACGTTTAAAATTTTCAATTTTGAAAGGCAAGGCATCTTTGCTTTGAATAGTGCCCCTTCAACCACAAGCAGTAGAAAAGGATGGATATCGTCAAATGGTGCAATTTCTTAAGAGACATGTAGACACCGTTTCCACAGATACTGGTTGCATCTCATCATTATGCGTGAGATGTCATTTAGCACTGATGCTTTGACACCCTGGTTGTGTCTCCAGATTAGTTTTGATTTTGTATGATTTCAACTTTGTACAGGTCATCCTGTTAAAGAGATCGGATTTCACTGGGACTTTCCTGTTTCCTGTTTAAAGCTTCATGCCTGATTACATAAGTGGTCATGAAAGAAAGACTACAAGACCTGGTGTTTGCAGAACGTGTGGATGAGGTTGGCATTGATGTAGCCGATGGAGATGCCAAGGAACACGACAATCAAATTCTTGGTCACAGCTTTAGCAAATGAGTCTCGATACTGTAAGACTACAGTCACATTGCCAGATGATGCATTCATCTCTTGACAGCTGAAAAGAAACAATAAATATTATATTTTTAAGTAATAAGTAATATTTCCATCACATTTCCACTGAGTAATTCACAAGTGCATGAAAATAAAGATTTTAAAGATTTTAAATTTGTGATTTGAGTGGTAAAAGTGGCACACTGTCCTTTTGGCAAACGCATTAACTGACAAGTACATCTCAGTACAAGTTCACTGAGATGGTGAAAAAGTCTGCAACCATCAGTATAGAAAAGCTTTACATAAGGAGCTTGGGACAACTGTTGTTGTGATTTGCTTCTATATTAAGAAAATGTCATTAACCAGTTACACATTTACTTACAATGCTATCATAATTTCATCATTTTATCATTATGTCACTTTTAAATATCAAGGCTATCATGACATCCCTACAAGTTATGAATTCATCACTGTAAAAGATGACATTCAAAAAACAACATTGTGAGAAAAATGTTAGAGAAATTCAAAAAGGAAAAATAAAAAAAACACACAATTTAAAGAAAATTAAAGAGCCCTTGTTGAGTTGCAGGTATTGGCCCCTTATGGTAAAGTTACTTTGAAAAGGTAATCATCATGATAATACTGGTAATATTAATAATACTAAAACAACCAGAGACAATTTTATAATATAAAATAAAAAATAAACATACATGAACATTTAGGGCTGATCAAAGTTGACAAAACAGGCACACATGAGGCATTGCTCTTTCCCTCATGTTGTTTTACATCGCAGAGCTTGTGTTGTATATGAGTTTTTTTTTACTTATAACCTTTGAAAGACCTACAGTAAGAAAAAGGAAGCCTGACTTCCATAACCTCTGAAGCACAGAGTAAATATATCTATATATTAACTATAATTTTAACATTCAACTGAAGCATGATGATGGAAAGGACTATATAATTAAATTTTGATTATTTTTTCATCTACAGTTTTTCTAAACTTTTCTAAACTGAAGTGTAAATTAATGTATATTTCTTTTAACATGTTAGTGTGTTATCAGCTGAAAACCCTGTTTTACACATTTAAAAACAATATCATTTGTAAATAGCTGCAGTTTTCAAGAAGAGCTCAAACAGGCCTATATAATGTACATTTGCATATACATCATGACAATGGTGTCAGAATATAGTTAAAAGCAAAATGTAGTTGGAGGTGGTACTTACCTGCTTGCATCTAAACACCAACATAATGCAGCAGATAATCTTATACAGGTTTATGGTGTCCTGGGATTCCTTGTGTGTGTGCACATGACAAGATCAATATGGTTAGCATTGCATGTTTGATTCTTATAAATTTATTAGAACACCTGTCATAAAAACAAGAAAACACAAATATTTTAGAATTTTGTTTAAAAATGTTTTCTTGGCAATTAGCAAACTGTTTTTGTGCACAAATTTGAATTGGCACACTGGACTTTATCTGCCATTTTTGTGGACCAACTCCTGTGGTTAGGAACAGCAGGTCAATAATCATAATTTGGCAAACCAAAACTAATAATGTGCTTTACAATTTATTTTGCTTTTTCTAAAACAGCATGGTTATGTTATTAACATTTTATTAAATGAAAGATTACTTCATCCAGCACACACAAACTGTTTGCTGGAATTATGGATAAAAGCCTTACAAAAAGTATAATGTGTCCTGCAACAGAAAGAAAAACATCATATTAAGGTTTTATCAAGAAAATACACCAATAAAAGGTGTAGCATTTCATAGTTACGTGGAGCTCAAGACATTCAACATTGGCTAACATGTCAGCTATGTCTGAACAAAGTCCAAGAGCACAGTT